CTTGATACAGGAAGCCCTTTGGGTTCATAAATTAGGGGTTAGATGCATGAATGATTATCTTGCCGGTTGAAAACACGGCAAAGAATGCAGAGGAGACTTTCCAACGTTATGAGAGTTCTTTGACAGGAAGGCCAAGTTCACCACGGAATTAGAAAAGGATGACGATCTACCATTTCTAGATGTTCTATTAAGCAAAGTGGAAAACAAACTGGCTAGAAATGTATACTGGCGACCGACAAATGCATGATTCCTTTTTTATTTCTTTTCATTCCATGATAATCAGGAACCTGCGTCTTATATTTGCCGAGTATCAGTACAAGGAATTAAGGCGATTAAGAAATATTTAATTGAAAACCCTTAACCATTAGGGTTAATTGAAAATTGCCTTAAATTAGTAGCAAATAGGATGGAGGGAAGCATCTATTTGGAGCAAGATAGAAAGCTGGAGCCACTTGATCAGTTTCCTGATAATAACGTCGTCAGCTTTCGAAAAAGGTCAATTAATGTGGAAGTGGGACATGAGGGCAATGTATAAAGAGTATAACTATAGTGTCTAGCACTGAGCTTGTCAGTCACATGAAGGACAAATGCTCATTAAGCATTCATCGTGGTGGAGGGACCAAAAGCTGTCGAATTATTCGCACAAACTTACAGTCACAGTTACAAGGCAACATCCCTTCGACTTCTAGCGAGGCCAAATTACGTATCCCTTCCAATCGCCTATTCAAATAAAATAAAAATTACAAGATAGTAAAGTTTCTCAAATTGACCTGCATAAATGTGGTTGCACCATGTCATCGCTAATGTGAGCATTAGAAGCCCGTTAATCGAATGATAATCAATTGAGGCCACGCTGTCTAAAGTATAAACAACACAACTAATCGGCTTAGCTACAACGAGTGTCCCTTTGGGGACCCTAACTCGAACTTTATATGCTTGCTCGCTCATGCTAGTAGCCATGACAAATTAGTATTATTGAGACTAAGTTCTCCTTTATGATGAAACACTTACTGCTTCAAGATGAACACTCAGCTGCCCCTGCATCTTTTCCAAGAACTCTTTCTCAAAAGGAAAGCCCTGTTGGATAAACAGTGCGTCTGCCAGTCGGATCACATCAATTTCTTTTCGCAAAAACTCCCCAGAATGGTACTCAGAGGACACTGCCTTGGTAGACACCAACAGTTCCCGCACTCTCTTCGCCTCCTCCATAGCTCTCTGCTGTGTCTCTGACAAAGACTCGTTGTTTCCGCCAGCG